GGGGACTCTTTTAAGGCCCCGTCCACACGTATCCGGGTATTTTTGAATCCGCAACTTGTCCTTTCCGTATTCAAAAATTTCCCCGTCCACATGTAGCAAAAAATTCCGATTCGCTGCCGAATTCGCCGGATGTGTGTGGACGGAAGCAGTACCCGGAAAGATTAAGTTGCGGATTCAAAAATATCCGGATACGTGTGGACGAGGCCTAAGTTTCTTTTGTTTCACAATTCCCAAAAGACTTGGATACAAAGAAAACAACACCAAATATAGAAGTTTGTCCTGAAAGCCTCGGAGCCATGTTAGAATATTGATATATCGAACGTGGCCTATTGGTTGGGAGGGTGACGGGTACTCCCGGCCATGGAATTTTTGATGGGTATGTTTGCCTGTTTCCGGAAACCCTTGCTCTATTTTGGACCAAACTATTTCAACACCTCAGGCCTATTTCATTACAGACCCAGAAATGGATACAATTTTTTTAGACATCTAAATTAGGGCTTCTTAAATTGCCTTTCCCATGCTTGATGACCTGTTATAGTTTAATCGGAAGAGCTTGTTTTTCAAGTCAAAGGTTTTTATCTGGTGGAATTTCATTATATAGCTCTCTCGTTCATTCTTTGCCGGACAAGGGTAATCTATTTTGGAATGAGGTGGACGTTGTTAAACCCAAATTTTTACAAAACAATTCTTATCTTAAAATAAATCCCCCCTCGCGATATGAACAGATTTGTCGTCTATTATTTACTTCGTAAAGCAAAAATATTTGTGTTACTGCTGGATGATTTCCTGTGACGAATGTGACAGTATGTCAAAAGCATACGATCCCAGCAAATGCCAGCGCTGTTACTTTGATGACTGAGTTGGCTTAGTTGAAAAAGTCAAGACAACATTGTGATTCAGGTACGTACCTATGCCTGAGATACTTAACAGTTGTTTTAAAATTGATCGAAGCGACAGTCTTACCGCTTTTGGTTTCGTCGAAAGTTTGTGTCTAGACCGACGGCCTAGAATTTTATATTTCCTCTGATGGAAAAGTCACATGTCAACATTATGTAAATAGATTTTCCATGCAAGCAAGTATTATTTCCTCGTCTGTACTGTATAAAGGTGAGCGCAAAGCAAAATGAATGATGCAACAACAAAAGAAACGATTTTAAGTAGTAGTTCGTACGTCGGTTTCACCTTTGAAAGCTAGGATAAAAAGAACAACACGCCATAATTCCTGTTGATAGGAAATCCTCACAATCCGTCACAGCTGATATCCCAAAACGGCTTGTTTTTGTCTTTCTTAATGTGAGAATTTTTTTTACCTCACTTATATATTTGAGGTACAATAACGTCAGTTAAACCGCAGACAGTGCTTCCCGAGTGGACATCTGCTTAAGACAAAACATACAAATCGGAATCACAGTGGCCCACATCCTGCCAGAATTCAATATTTATATTTGCGCTTGAAAATATTGCTAATGAAGTAAAAGCAGTCCTTCCACAACGACTCTGGAACGGCAAAATGGTTTAAATTTTCCTTCTATGCTTGGTTTAAATTACTGAAGCGAATCTCAGTTCGAAACACATTTTGAAATAACATATATTCTAAGTACGACTGATTTGAATATTATGACGCGGACTGTTTATTTCGTGTAGGTTTTACTTGTCAGAACTTTTACTGAGGTTGTCCTGGTTCTGGGCACCTCTGCTGCAATTTAACCAACGAGTAGACCTCGATCATGTTGATAGTAAATTTAATGGCTTCGCCTGCTACTTATCTTTCTCATTTGAAACCAAGTTCAATATTCCAAAATATTGACAGAGATAAATATGCATGCATGTAGGGTGTCATGATCAAGTTTGGGCTAAACCGTTGCCTTTACGAACGTATCCTAATTTTAGACTAAGAAAGTGAGCGGGGAACCATACATTTGTTAGTAACTCTCCAAAGCTTGCGCGGTCATTTGATTTTCTGTTATACAGTATACTCGCGACATCAAATGTTCGCAAAAATTCGGCCCACTGTCGCGAGAAAAAAGAAGTTGTCGCCTATTTATTAAAGAATATAAATCAATTTCGCGAAATCCGCATAAATTACGTTGTGGCCAAATAATTCTTATAGCAAGGTAACCTTCTTAGTCAAGAGCAACCTCGCATATAACCCACGAGTAGTCCCTCTCTTCCATTAGAAGCTGATAGTCCATACAGTTGGCAAAGATTTATGGGGCCTACTGAGGTGCATGAATCTGCTCTTACTGCAAACATTTCCCATCTATGTAGTTAGTATTGAATTTGTCTCACTAGCAATTAAAGAGGCAGAATTCTCTCAGCATTCGCTTGGGCACCTCTGTCCAATGAATCAACTAAACGGTGAACAGAATCCACTGCAGCTTCACGACGAACGATCAAATTCTCTGCCATGTTATGATCAGCATGAGGATAAAATTTTGAACGGTCATTCAAAAGACGCATAACTGTTTCCAAAACTTTAGTCACTGGAGAGCCGCAGTAACAAACATTAAATAGCAGATAGACCAAGACAAGGCATTTAACCACTGCCGCCATATTGATGATTTCTAGTTAAAGTAATTTTCATTGCTATCGCACACGAACAGCCATTCCGTCAAAAGCCACATTTCGCTCTGGCATATACAACGTAATTTATGAGACCCGCATGTACGCGCATTTTAGCACGCGTATATATGAGTACTTGTAGGACACATATATTTGGACATTTATTTCGCATATCCCCGTGCTTGAGTTTACGCATATATGTGGCCCTTTAAAAATGCGTATATACGCGATCTAAATGGTCATATATATGGGCTTAAAACCCATACGTAACGTGTATAAACAGGTACACGCGGTAGAGTAACCCGCATATGCTCTGTCGTGATTTTGAAATGAATGGCCGACCATATCTTTCGCTCAGTCCGTCGTGGGTGACGCGAAAGAAAACCACGAGAAATCCTGGGGGGTAAGGGGGGTCCGAAAACCGCAAAACCGCGTAAAAAAACGTAAAAAACCGCAATACCGCATGGAAATTTACCAAAATACCGAAACCGTAGTTACAAATGTGCTACGGTGCCGCCATCATTACTTCTAGTTCGCCATTCCATTAGAAATACGAACTTATTTAGTTTGATAAAAGTGTAGGTTAATGTTAATCAACGTATGATCATCGCACTCATAAAATAATACTGTAATATTATAACTGATCTTATCATGCACTCTGACGAGTGTCGACGACTTCCATGACTCCGTAAAAGATCAATAACTGACACACGCCCGTGGGACTGACTTCGTTATGCTGCTGTGGAACTAATATAAGTGCGCTCGCGCCCGCACGAATACTGCTGAGTTACCCAATTGAAAAACATCGATGTTTACGACTTCAGCACTGGAAATCACTCGAATGTTACACAACGAAAGCTTTTCGCGATTTTTTTTGGTGAAAACTCGTCAAGATGATAGTTTTCAAGATCAAATATCCGGAATACGAGCTCGGAACACCCATTTTATGTCGCGATTCGACTGAATCATCCTTAAATTTCATTTAAAATCTTGCCGAGAAGAATTTTGAATAACCCGAAGACAACGTGGTCAGCCTCATGAAGTGTTCAGTAAAGCAAACGATTGTTGAAGCGTTACAACTCTGCCGAAGCGAGTTCTTGCTCCCAGAAGAAACGTCGCCGAGCTTCCAATCTCTCCTTTAAGTAACATCGTCTCTTCCCGACCATCCTCCTATCCACTTCCTCTTGCTCGGCAAGCATTGTCCCGCACGAGGCCACGGCAAATACTGTAGGAAATCTGAGCGAAAGATTCCCAGCTCGTAAAGTCAACAAGTCGACGTATCATTGGATAAAATGGTTAATCATACCAATTATTAACTGGAAAAAGCGGAAATTACAAACAGCAAAGCTTGCTTGCACAACGATGGTCCCTTGCAAAACATAAACAAGAGATCAAAAGTCATCGGAAGCGTCAGGATCCGAGTAATAACTGTTATAACTGAAAAGCGCAGACGACTGCAGTCTCTTTTTTTACCGATTACCACGATCCAAAATTTATGAAAACCGAAAACCGCTTAGTGTTATAAAACCGCAATACCGCAGGTTGAAATAAGGATTTCCGTAAAACCGCACCAAAAATAACGCAAAACCACATCACCGCAAACCCTTACGCCCCCCTCACTAAGCGACAGAGGGACCACTCGTAGTCTACCTCGCATACATTTATCACTAGTCACCCCTACCGGAAATGGAAAATATTTCCCAGAAACCAGTATCATAACAACCGTTTCTCGGAATTGAGGTTTAGCCAAGTCGAGAAGAAAAGGATGAGCTGTATCCAAAATCAACTTGAAGTAAGTTTAACTTCCATATCTTTTTATTTATCTTATTTTAGCTCATCTTATTTTATTATCGTGAACCGTGTTCGCAAGCAAGTCTTAGAGTGTTTTTGTACCCTTGAGCCTCTCAACATCTTTCAAGACTACCCTGTGTACAGAGTGCTGGCATAGGAAAGAAATGGAACGTTTACACGTAGGATATATTCTACCCATGCAAAAATATAGTCTGTGTTCGAACCCGGTGGCATACCAGGTCGTAACTTATCTCCAGTTTTCGTAGCATGAAGAGACTAGGGGTATTTCCGCTCCCCCGTGGATGAGATGCTACTAGAGTTCACTACATCCGGTTAAGGTATAAGTAGCACTGGAGAAGATCATAACTGAGAGTAGGAGCCAATGATGTTTACTTCTAATCGTGAGCTAGGCATAATAGGCATAATATTTTAACCATTTAGCATTTCTCGACTATCAAAGTCATTAACGCGAGAACGTGCAGCCTAATCGACTCAGCATAACACACAGGGTGAGCCATTAAACCAAGAGAGAATAGGAAGGTTAAAAGAATTTATCCCCCATATAGATGAGGTAATCTCTCTCAAGTCATTTTTTAGATCACTCCAGGCTTCGGAAATCCCAGGATGGTCTAGAGATGGCCGATTCTGTTATGCGAATGTCAATTTACTCACGTGGACAGCCAAGCGGCTTTATCATCCTTCACGAAGGCGCGTGGTAATATTATTATTCCCTGTAAAACTGGGTACCATCTCTAAAAATAGCTTGAGATGGATTACTTTAGTTATAAGATCGATATATCCCATATATGATTATATATGGGAGATTAACTTTTATTTATCCCCTCTTGATTAAACATAGAAAATCGATAAAAGTGATCGATCGATAACCGAGACAATGGCGCAGCAAGACAGATGGCGTGCTTGCAAAATAAAAGCCACCCGCCTTCTTTTACTTTATCTCATTTTTACAAGTGAGGATTTAACACGTAGTTCTTGGGTGGTCTAACTTTCAGGTACTCAAAATTCTGTCTCAATAGGTATCAAATTAAAAGATACTCGGGTTCCACTGTATTTCAAGAAAGCATTTCTTATGTAAATTTCATCTCTGTAAATATTGCTTTGGCGGTGGCACAATATACACGTAACATATTCATGTCAATATTTCTCTTTGCCTTTTTTTTTTCTTCCTGGGAGTCCCTGTCCCCCGAGATCCTTCGAAGAGATCCTGCGGATCAGGCGTCCTGCGTTGATTTACGAAAATAATTTTAACAAAGTAACGTATTACAACTCGGTTGAGTTCACAAAGAACTAATCTTTCAATATTAACGTTGCAATACCAGTAAACAAGAAGAGTACTTAGTCACTGTGTAAGCATCAGCTCTAAATGACGTTAGGAATTGTCAGTTTGGCCTACTTTGGACTACTTTCCGAACGCATTTAATTATTTTTATATCGGACGTTACATTACATTATTTATAGCATAAATATTATTTTTATTTTAGCTACGTTTTTGTACGTTCAGATAGCCTCTTCCAGGCGCCTGGAAGAGGCAAACTGTGCTGTGTAATGTGTATCAGCATCCTTATATTTGTAATCTGCGCATTTTCTACTCCATGGCCTTCGGTCTCTTCACTGCCAGATTAAGACACAAGACACGAAGGCTAAGTGAAACTCTTGGCAAGCTTATATACCTTTGCTGGTGCCTAACAGCGTATGCCAAACCAAAATTAAATTAGATTACAGCCTTAGGCGTTCCGAAAGCTTGCAAGCACTGCGACTTTTTGCTTACAATTTGAGTAAAAATCAAAAATTATCAGCGTCCGTCTACCTTGTCGCAGACTTTTTTACTCTGCGATCCAGCACTCAGTCGTAAAGAGTGTGACGGTATCAATCCAAATAAAGAAAAACAGACAACGGACCTGTCAACTTCAACCGATTTATTCCATTCTGAAGTCACACTTAGTAGGGTCAGTACGGTTAATGAATGAATGAATGCAATGAATGAAACTTTTTTGCACACTCCCAAAAATGGGTTTTTCAGTAAACAATACGATATAAATACAAAAAAAAAAAAAAGAAAAAAAAATACAATAAAAACGGTTGGTGCGGCTAGTACGGTAGAACGGTAGGTAAAACGTTGTTGCTTGTTATGTGCTAAATGACACCATCCTCGGTAAATTAACTTGAAATAAACTTGACAAGAACACGAGCGCCACATTTTTTCACAAAAGCATTTGTTCCTAATCCCCCCACAAGCGGTGACGGTTACGAAAGGTGACACCGCTTGAGCTATACCGCCGGTTCAAAACATAACCGAACGTTCTCTGATCTTTAAATCGCAGCGAATATTGACCAGATAACTGACATTAAGTCCCTAACAAAAAGAGAAACTGATATTACGGCCTTAATTCTTTTAGTCAGACCAGGCAGCCAAATCCCTGGAACACAATTCCAATCAGCATCGCGCTGTTACAGATTTCAACACTTCCCCTAAAATTAATTTTGTCCTGTAATATTGCTTAAATTTGTCACCTTTGTTGTAATGTTCCTTTCATCAGTTTAATGGGACATAGGACACATCAGGTAGCTCGGAGAAATAAGCAGAAATGCTACTCTGTGGATTCTGTAAATTCGAGTAAATAAAGTTTATCAGTATTTAGGTACCTTTGCTGGAGAATTTAGCTCCAAATAACAAACTTATTAAGGTGCAAGAACCTAAGCCCTCCATTGTTAACCAACAGTTTGTAGTGAACAAATTTAAATGTAATCTGTGTGATGCAAGATATGTGGGATATACGCGTGGGCACCTGAATGAGCATGTGGACTGACACAGAAGAAAGCCGTCTTCTATTTACAAACAGTACCAGCTCCAACATAATGGTCGGATATCACAGCTTTTTTTAAAAGTCTTAGAACAGTTTCACGTGCTAGCGAAATGTACTAGTAAAGTTGATTGTGTCATTCATGAGATGCTTTTCATACGCTAACTCAAACCAGAACTGAACGTGCAAACTGACTCAATTGGTCCTTATTAAGCCATGTTAATTTTATGTTAATTTTCTGCTCTAGCCTACTTACAATATTCGCTTTCTTATACCAAGCAGATTTTTGACACTCAGGAATTCGTTCAAATAATGGCGGCTGAAAACTTGCAAAGAACGCAATCGAGAAAACAGTTTCTCCTTGCTCAGATAGCAAAATGGTTTGGACAGGTGGGTAAGAAACAAGCCAATTAAGGGTTAGGGTCAGGGTTACGGTTAGGAAAATGTAAAACATCGACTACGAAAAAATTGGTCTTATCGGCACCGTTTAATAACTATGGTGTAACTTGTAAAATATTGAACATCTGCCTTGTCCTTCTAAACGTTTAAAACCCAGCTTTACCGAGAAACTGAGCCTGCGAAAAAGCTCTCTCGGAGTACGGAGGTCAACCCTAGAACTGCTAAGAGAGCTTGCTCGGACGCTAACCGAGAAAAGATCATACGATTAGAACGACGCCTCCTCGTGGTCTCCTCGTGTTTTTTGGCGGGTATATGATCTCAAATCTAGCGCGAAATATCTCAAGGAAAAAATTCATATGAATAAGGAGAAGGCAAATGATGAACACAAATCGGTGAATAGGCTAGAGACAGATCATTGGTCGTACAGAGAAACATGCTCAACTGTTCCCAAGTGTTTGCGCCATCACGCGTTTTTCGTTCGTGATTTGTTTGCGACGAATTTCAGAAATTTGTGAACATTTCCGACAGTTTGAAATGCATTTGGTTTGAGGTTAACACTGTTCATAAGGTGAACAATCAGATTCCTCGCCAACAGGAACAAATAAGGTACCGCATCCAGGACCGGTCGGTTCCAAAACCATGGAGGCAAGCAACATATCAAATATAATATCAATATTCTCCAAACATTTGTCTTACCTGTGGAAGACTGCTAATCGCTTCGCTGTAGAAAGAACATACGGCAGAACGTCGTCTTATGACCGCTTCTTCATACGTCCATCTGAAATGCAGTGACTTTCTTTTGGCCCAAATAATCATGAACGGGGTTTTTTTCGCATTCAAGTCACAAATCGCGACAATTGGAAAACTTGCAGAAACAGTCTAAACAAAAGAATTACTTCAAAACTCTTTGACCAACCCGTAGCTTTAATAGCTTGTGGTTTAATAAAAAACTTGAGCATAAACCGCAATAACCACAGTAGCCAAGGTTTTGTTAGTCTTTAAGAGCCCTAGTCAGCCACACCTTTGTTTTTGTTTACATGCCAGAGTTTGACTAATATGTTTTATTATAATTAAAAATACTTTCAGGAACACAATTTAGAGCATAAGATTTTGCTTCACCATAAAATATCAATAATTTAGATGGCATCGAAAATAGCGGAAGCTGACCAGGGTCCTGTAAAGGTCGAAAAATTTCCTTCCTGCTCTCACTCTACCATACGTGCTGTTGAAGTAGCAAAGATGGTAGAAAGAATGTAAATGTAAATGTATACGTAATTGGCCACTCCCCATAGGGGCTTTTCAGGACCAGTATAAACAAACAACGATAAATAAATATTCAAAATAAACATAACTCAGGTTAAGAATCCCAACTGGCGTAGTCGAGAAGTTGAACTCGGGGCTACCGAGAACAAGATCAGCTAGCGGTCAGAACGGGATTTGAACCCGTGACCTACGGATTGCAATTCCGGCGCTCTAACCACTCGGCCACGCTGCCTCCTACAAAAAGAGAAACAAGACAAAGTAAAAAAGGGTTTAAATATATAGTAAGGAGACTTGCATACAGACCTTTGCCATAGAAAATGTGTGTCACAACTTGCAATTCAGAATCAACCCCAGCAGGGGACCGAACAACCTTTTCTGCTTGCATTTGATGGCAGATGCTTGCTGATATATATTTTACCGGAACACAACTTAACGCGGGAAACGTGGAGAAAATATTTTATGATTTCTTACTGTCAAGTTTCGCTGTTCTGTTTATTGGAGACACCGGGTAGCCTGG